AGTTCAGTTATTCTCCGCTATGATTTATTAATTAATTACTTAAAAGAATGAATGTATGACTAAAACGTAACAAGACATCTGATTTATAAAAACGGATGCTTAATGGTTTAGGATTTGCATTTATTTGTGATAAAAGCGTATATTTTTGTTTCCAGGTAAGTATGTTTGAAATACCAGGCCCGGAAAGGAAATATTTAATTGTAATTTTAGCAAAATCCACATACGACAACAAATTTTCCATTGATTCCTTTGATCTCACATCGCTAAGCAGAACAACATCCTCTTGCCCAAATGTAGTAGTGGTGGTTCTCCTAATTTTTGTTGTTGAATTGTCCGTTGCCCCTAACTGCTGCGGTATTAAATTATTATCCAATATATATTTTTCTATTGCATCAAATATTGGCATGTGGTTTGAGAGATTGCTTTCTACTTTTAATTCGATATATTTCATGAACGAAACGTAATCCAATTCATAAAGTGTAGGTAGCGATGTAGAATAATCATTTGCTAGTAATTTCTGCAAACGAAAATCGGTGTGTACAAAATTATATTATCAAACAAATGGTATCTCGAATGTATTACAGTTTTAATAGGTTCTAATAGCTTCAAATTCGAAAATTTCACAGTGGCATCGAAAATTTTTAACGCATCATCATTGTTAGACTTTTCAATTAAATTCTTCAAGTGTTCTCTGCATAACTTTGCTATAGTCGTGAACATATATTTATCACAAAGTTTATACAAACTGATCGTTTCGCTAACATTTAGTTCCCCAACTTCTTGAGAGGCATCACGAAGATTATACAAGATTATGCGTAAGTTGCGAAATGCATTTGGATCATCGTCTGGCAATGGGATTCTGGTACATTTTGCTTCCATGAAATTATCAGAAAACATTGATTCAAATACTTCCGAGTTCAAGGCGAACATTAACTTATGGCCGAATATAGTTTTTGGCTTTCCCAGATTTTCACCGACAATAAATTGACAATCCACTGTAAATGCATGATTTATTTTTGTCTCCAATTTTTCGGGCAAACTGCAAATGTACAATATTGAAATGTTTACAAAAAGTACAATTAATTTTCGCTGGGCTTTTATAATAATTGTTTATGTATTTTCTAATGAATGTTAAATTTTTTCATGCATTATAATGTAAATATAATATATGTGACATAGTTTTTAATCAGTTGCTTTAATTATTTCTACTAGTTTCCTTATTTACCGATAAATATTTTTATCGGTATGCTCGTTTTTGTTTTGCTTTGCCGCATTCTCACAACACCACGATACAAAATAATTCGGTATATCCCCTTATTGATCGTAAACAATTAATAAACATTCAATCCAGCCATGCTCAGCCATATATGCTACCGTAACTGAGGGTCAATGGTTAGACACACATTCTCGTTCTTTCCCTTTTCGTCAGCCGTTTTTAATGATGAATTCTCAGTTACGCTCATCCACACTTACTCTTAATTTATTTAAGAGCAGCACTGATTCACACACTTTCCTGCATTGTATATGCATGTAGGTGTTGTCCACCCAAAATTTGTTTTTTATTTACCAACCGGCATATTGAATTTTTCAAAACAAAAGGAATGAAATGAAATATAGACACATCTTTCTATTTTGAAATCATCCTGAATTAACTATTCGATTTGTTCGCATTTACCTGATGTTTTTTGAAGGATTCACTTCGGCAGCGATTAACTTTTCCATTGCAAATTTTTATTTAATGTTTATGAATGGATAGGTATGTGATGTTAATAGCTGCACTGATTCACACACTTTGCTGCATTGTATATGTATGTAAGTATTGTTCACCCAAAATGTTTTTATTATTTAACAACCGGCGTACTGAATTGTTTAAAACAAAAGGAATGAAATTAAATATAGACACATCTTTGTATTTAGGAATCATCCTGAACTAACTATTCGATTTGTTCGCATTTACCTGATGTTTTTTGAAGGATTATCTTCGTCAGCGATTAACTTTTCCATTGCAAATTTGTATTTAATGTTTATGGATGAATAGGTATGTTATGCTTGTATTTCAACGCGCGTCTTATTCTTTGCACCCATCAACACAAACTAGTTGAGATGTACTGAGCAAATATATTTGTGGACGTAATCATAGAATTGCCGCAAAAACAGCTGTTTCACAATGTCAGAAATATTTCGCTTTGGTTAAATTTTGTTGAAGCAAATTTAAGATTATCTCACTCATCACCCGCTAGATGTCGTGGTCATAGTTTTTAGTCATTAATATAATTTGGTAAACTGATTGAATAGTAAAAAAATAATAAAATGTAGTAGGGAATAACTATTTGGAATTAAGTCTATTTGTGGCTTCAAAAATTATTTTTCTTATACATAATTTCGCATTTACTTGATATTTTTTGAGGAATTTTCTTCGGTAGCTATTAACTTTTCCATTGCAAATCTTTGACTAATGTTTGTGAATGAATATGATGTATGTATTTCAAAACGCGCCGTATTCTTTCTTTGTACAAAATAATACAAACTAAATGTCAATGTGGGTACAGAATTGCCGCAAAAACAGATGTTTCACAATGTCAAAAATATTTCATTATACCCTTCACCACACTGTGGTACAGGGTCTTCGTGCATATGTTTGCAACAGGCAAAAATAATCGAGTGTTTCGCGGAGAGAATGAGTTGTTCGACGTTGGTTGTTTGTGCTACACTGATTTTCTTTATTTAATATTTTTGCTTAAGAACTACGAACACAAATAAATCTTAACCTAATATTCTAGTACATAAGAGAGAGAGAGAGAGAAATATAATATGATATAAGATGTGTGCCCATGCGTAAGTACCATGCCTGCCATAATCTTATGGGGAGGTCACACACTCACACCGCATTATCTCCCACGTTGCATGCAACACGCTACACATGCTTATCAGTCTGTAGTTTAGACAATTTTTATCTTTTAGTGACCTTCACGACGGAGGCCTCTTCTTTAAATGTGCATGTTATTTTTGTGGACTGTACATTCACAAAATTATGTTTTGTATTTTATCTCTTCTATGTAACTAAAACTGTTCACTTATCCGTGAACATCGAGATAGACTTCCTTTTGAGAATATGCATAGAATCACTTCCTGAGTCGATTTACGCATGTCCGTCCTTCCAATTATTTTTGTTAACAAAGTGCAGGTCGCATTTATGATCCGATTTGGATGAAATTTGGACGAACCCCATATAAGGGTACCCCCTATTTTCGGTATTTTGAGGTTCTTGAGCGCGTTTTTTGACTGAATTCGCTAAAATTTGGTACTTTGAGTTCTTATTGAGTAGCAAATCTCTCCACTAAAAATTATAAATATGAGTCCATATTTTCGGATAGCCTCCATATAAGGTTACCCCCAATTTTGCGGTATTTTGGGGGTTTTGATCGCAGTTTTCGACCGAATTCGCTGAAGTTTGGTACATTGAGTTTTTATAGGGTAGCAAATCTCCCTACTAAAAATTATAAAAATAGGTCAATTTTTTTCGGATAGCCCCCATATAAGGGTACCCCCAATTTTCGGTAGTTTGGGGTTCTTGGACACGTTTTATAACTGAATTCTCTGAAACTTTGTACATTGGGCTATTATTGGGTATCAAATTACTCCACTAAAAATTATAAATAAAGGTCCAGTTTTTCTGGTATAATATAATCGATTTCGGTGTAGATTTAGGCATGTCCGTCCTGTCAGAAATTTATCATAGCTCATATATTTGGTTCTCGTATGTGTCGGAAACCTTATTATTTTCCTTCGATTTCATGTACATTGTGCATAAGACTTACCATTTCCCCTATTTCTTCCAAAGCTTCTAGTTTTACCTATGTATTCGTTAAATATTTGTACGCAATCATGCTGCTCAATCCATCGTGTTTCACAATTTGAATGTAGTTGTATGAAAGATGTATTTGTTTCTCCAAATATTCTACATAAATTAGCATACCTTTTTAAATTTTCTTAAAAATTAGCAAATTTCCGAAATTGTACTTTGATTTTCTGGAATCTTTGAAGCTGCATTAAAATTTAATTTTAAAATGTGAAAAGAACAATGAATGTCTACACAGAAATGAGTTTTGGCTCCATTATAATTGCCTAACATGTTAGATGCGCCGTTATATTCTTCACCTTTCAAAAATGTTGGATTCAGACCCAAATTGATTCTCTATTCTAAGACTCCGGTATGTTGCATTTTGGGTGTACTCGCCGTGTATAATTAAAAGTTTACAAAACAGCACTTGTTGCTAAATCTGAATATGCGATACAATGAACCCTCGGGCCTGGTATAATTAAAAGTTTACAAAAATCTGAATATGCGATACAAGAAACCGGGGCCGGACCGGGTATAATTAAAAATAAAAAAACAAAAATCTGAATATGCGATACAAGAAGTTCTGGGCCGGGACGGTTATAATTTAAAGTTTACAAAGAACATATTTTGCTAAATCTGAATATGTGATAAAAGAAACCCGGGACCTGGTCGGGAATAATTAAAATGAAAAAACAAATCAATTCGAACACTTGCACGTATAAGAAAAAATGAAAATAATATGTTGTGGTTTGGCATATTCTATACCAATTTTCTTATGATTTCATATAACATTTTCTTACATTCCTCATGTGTATGTAGAAATTTGGAGAATTATATTGGAATTAAAATTGAAGACACAAATCGAATAGTTAGTTTAGTTATTCTCCGCTACGATTTATTAATTAATCAGTTTACCAAATTATATTAATGACTAATAACTATGACCACGACATCTATCGGTTGATGAGTGAGTAAATTTGCTTCAACTATTTCTGACATTGTGAAACAGCTGTTTTTGCGGCAATTCTATGATAACGTCCACAAATATATTTGCTCAGTACCTCTCAACTAGTTTGTGTTGTTGTGTGCAAAGAATAAGACGCGTTTTGAAATACAAGCATCACATACCTATTCATAAACATTAAACAAAAAAATTACAATGGAAAATTTAAACGCTGCCGAAGATAATCCCTCAATAAACATCAGGTAAATGCAATAAATCGAATAGTTAGTTCAGGATGATTTCAAAATACATAACAAATATTTGTTTGTATTTTGTTGTTGTTGTGTGCAAAGAATAAGACGCGTTTTGAAATACAAGCATCACATACCTATTCATATTCATAAACATTAAATAAAAATTTACAATGGAAAATTTAAACGCTGCCGAAGAGAATCCCTCAATAAACAACAGGTAAATGCAATAAATCGAATAGTTAGTTCAGGATGATTTCAAAATACCTAACAAAGATTTGTTTGTATTTTGTTGTTGTTGTGTGCAAAGAATAAGACGCGTTTTGAAATACAAGCATCACATACCTATTCATATTCATAAACATTAAATAAAAATTTACAATGGAAAATTTAAACGCTGCCGAAGATAATCCCTCTATAAAGATCAGGTAAATGCAATACATCGAATAGTTAGTTCTGGATGATTTTAAAATACATAACAAAGATGTTATGTTGTAAACAATTTTTTTTTAAACAGAAGTCCTTCTCCAGCTAGTCCACTTTCTATTAGAATAGAAGGTATAGGACCATACACCATATGAACGAGATTTTCTTATATTTTTCGTTCAGTTCGATTAAACACGTGCAAATTAAACGAATACTAAACACAGCGGTATTTTGAAATTTTTAAAGTCCGTATCCGTGATTATTTACATTCACATTAGTCATGTTAACATGAATGTCAAGTCGTATTCAGATTACACAATAACATTTAATGAGTGTAAATAAATTCAACCACCGAAGTTGTGTTGTTCTTCGTTGTGCTTTGTTCGGCGAAGATCGTATTCATGGGTACCATAATACGATAAAACTCCAACGCACAACAAGTTATACAGCATCACATCAATGAGTCATTCAACGGCTTAACATTAATTAAGACGACCGGATTTTGAAAAGATAACATACAAACAAGTGGGAATATACCGATAATTCTACAAATCGGTTTATGTAAACCATTATGTACACCAAATACAAACTTCAGCAATTTTTAATGGGAATTTTTCCTAAAATTCTGTAAGATCCAAAAAGTGGACTGATATTGATAACGCATTGTAGAGTATAAAATCCTCAAACTACTGTAATTTAGATTACAAAGTTATATATTACATAGTGTATATATATTGATTATACAGTATTTTTCGGTTAATTGCACATCAAAATTTGCACAAATTTTTGTTCAATTAACCGAGGAACCAATTATCCGAACCCGCTTACTATGAAATGAAATATTTTTGACCCATCATGTGGTTCAATTAAGCGTGGAAACCAATTAATCGTAGGGTCAATTAACCGAAAAATACTGTATATTGATTACATAGTGTAGGAAATAGTGAATATTTGGGAATATCATTATATGAGGGCTATGCCTACTTAATGACGGGTATATGCCAATTTTGAACCAAATATTTTAATTGTTTATCTCAATTCTTTCCTTCAGGAGGTATCACTATATGTCTGCCGATATATTTCATTATCATCATGTTTGAGTTATTTTGTCACAATATCTTTAGAAGGCGGAATGTTTACAACAGTTGGCTAAATAGTCTATGTAGGGTAAAAATTGACTATTCCCCGTAACGACTACCCAACCGCAACACACGGAACAAATCAGATAACTATTTTAATATAAATAACTATTTTAATATAAAAAGGGGGTATATGGGGACTACCCCTAAAAAGCGTTGAATATTAATAATTTTTGGTGGGGAGATTTGTTACCATATACGACTACAAAATACCAAATTTCAGCGAATTCGGTTGAAAAACGCGCTCAAGAACCTCAAAATATCGAAAATTGGGGGTACCTTTATATGGGGGCTACCCGGAAAAATTGACCTATATTTATAATTTTTTGTGAAGAGATTTGCTACCCAATAAGAACTCAAATTACTAAATTACAGCTAATTATGTGAAAAAATCCGGTCAAAACTCCCCAAAAACTGGAAATTGGGAGGAACCCTTATATGGGGGCTACCAGAAAAAAAGGACCTATATTTATAATTTTTAGAGGCGAAATTTGGTACCCAATAAGAAACCCATGTACCAAATTTCAGCGAATTCGGTTGAAAACCGCGCTCAAGAACCCTAAAATACCGAAAATTTGGGGTACCCTTATATGGGGGCTATCGAAAAAATTGACCTATATTTATAATTTTTAGTACAAAGATTTGCTACCCAATAAGAACTCAAAGTACCGAATTTCAGCCAAATCGGTGAAAAAATCCGGTCAAAACCCCCCAAAAACTGGAAATGGGGAGGTACCCTTATATGGGGGCTACCGGAAAAAGTGGACCTATATATATAATTTTTAGTGGGGACATTTGGTACCCAATAATAACCCAATGTACCAAATTTCAGCGAATTCGGTTGAAAAACGCGCTCAAGAACCTCAAAATACTGAAAATGTGGGGGTACCCTTATATGGGAGCTATGCCTAAACGTGGACCGATATAGCCCATCATCGAACTTGACCTGCCTGCAGACGAAAGACCACTCTATGCAAAATTTTGGGGCTCTATCTCAATTCGTTTAGACGCAAGAGTGATAACAACAGACAGACGGACATGCTTAGATCGTCTTAGCATTTTACGCTGATCAAGAATATATATACTTTATAGGGTCGGAAATGAGTATTTCGATGCGTTACAAACGGAAAAACAAAACTAATATACCCTCCATACTATGGTGGAGGGTATAAAAAGGGGGTTATATGGGGACTACCCCTAAAAAGGGGTGAATATTAATAATTTTTGGTGGGGAGATTTTTGTTAACATATACGACTGCAAAATACCAAATTTCAGCGAATTCGGTTGAAAAACGCGGTCAAGAACCCAATCGAAAATTGGGGGTATCTTTATATGGGGGCTACCCGAAAAAATTGACCTATATTTATAATTTTTTGTGGAGAGATTTGCTACCCAACAAAAAATTCAAATTACTAAATTACAGCCAATTCGGTGTAAAAATCCGGTCAAACACGCCAAAAATTGAAAATTGGGAGGTACCCTATCAGAAAAGTGGACCGATGTTTATAATTTTTATTTTAGATATTTGGTACCAAATAAGAACCCAATGTACCAAATTTCAGCGAATTCGGTTGAAAAACGACATCAAGAACCTCAAAATACCGAAAATTGGGGGGTACCCTGATATGGGAGCTATGCCTAAACGTGGACCGATATATCCCATCTTCGAACTTGACCTGCCTGCAGACAAAAGAATTTTGGCGATCTAACTCAATTCGTTTAGACGCTAGAGTGATTACAACAGACGGACAGACGGACATGCTTAGATCGTCATAGAATTTTACGCTGATCAAGAATATAGTTATTAATAATTTTTGGTGGGGAGATTTGTTACCATATACGACTGCAAAATACCAAATTTCAGCGAATTCGGTTGAAAAACGCGGTCAAGAACATCAAAATATCGAAAATTGGGGGATACCCTTATATGGGGGCTACCAGAAAAAGTGGACCTATACTTATAATTTTTTGTGGAGACATTTAGAACCCAATAAGAACTCAATGTAGCGAATTCGGTTGAAAAACGCGCTCAAGAACCCCAAAATACCGAAAAAATAGGGGGTACCCTTATATGGGAGCTATGCCTAAACGTGGACCGATAAAGCCCATCTTCGAACTTGACCTGCCTGCAGACAAAAGACGACTCTATGCAAAATTTTGGCGATCTAACTCCATTCGTTTAGACGCTAAAGTGATTACAGCAGACGGACATGCTTAGATCGTCATAGAATTTTACGCTGATCAAGAAAATATATACTTTATAGGGTCGGAAATGATTATTTCGATGCGTTTCAAACGGAAAAACAAAACTAATATATCCTCCATACTATGGTGGAGGGTATAAAAAGGGGGTTATATGGGAACTACCCCTAAAAGGGGACGAATATTACTAATTTTTGGTAGGGAGATTTGTTACCATATACGACTGCAAAATACCAAATTTCAGCGAATTCGGTTGAAAAACGCGGTCAAGAACCGCGGTCAAGAACCCAATCGAAAATTGGGGGTATCTTTATATGGGGGCTACCCGAAAAAATGGACCTATATTTATAATTTTTTTGTGGAGAGATTTGCTACCCAATAATAATTCAAATTACTAAATTACAGCCAATTCGGTGAAAAAATCCGGTCAAACCCCCCCAAAAACTGAAAATTGGGAGGTACCCTTATATGGGGGCTATCAGAAAAAGTGGACCGATGTTTATAATATTTAGTTTAGATATTTGGTACCAAATAAGAACCCAATGTACCAAATTTCAGCGAATTCGGTTGAAAACGTGTTCAAGAACTCAAAAATACCGAAAATTTGGGGGATACCCTTATATGGGGGCTACCAGAAAAAGTGGACCTATACTTATAATTTTTTGTGGAGACATTTAGAACCCAATAAGAACTCAATGTAGCAAATTTCAGCGAATTCGGTTGAAAAACACGCTCATGAACCCCAAAATACCGAAAATTGGGGGGTACCCCTATATGAGAGCTATCCCTAAACGTGGACCGATAAAGCCCATCTTCGAACTTGACCTGTCAGCAGACAAAAGTTTTGGCGATCTATCTCAATTCGTTTAGAGGCTAGAGTGGTTGCAACAGACAGGCGGACGGACAGACAGACGGTCATTGCATAAATTCGATACTTTGCTTATAATGGCAATGTATATGTTCGATTCATTGTTTCCCCTTCTACAGCATTACAATTAACCACTTTAATTGGCCGCTCTTCGGGGGACATCTTCTCTGCATATCTTCCAGGAGCCCCATTCGGATGCAGAGTGGCGCTTTCCAATGCTGTGGTCGTAGTTGTTGATCACGGCCTTGCTGTAGTTTTCTTGTCCATCGCAACATCACTTCTTTTCTCGCTTTCGTAGAATAAACACTTATTCTCTCGCTATCGCAGTTAACACACGCTTAAGATACAATCTTGTTTCTCACGAAACCCATTAACTTTAAAATAAAGATCGAAAATATTATTTAAATACACATTCCTTTTTCTTTTTTGGGTTTCAGTGCATCTCGGTATCACGCCAACATTTTGATCCGTTCGAGCCGGATAAAACAAGCATTGTTGTTGCATTTTGATCCGTTCGAGTCGGATCAATTACATCAAATCGTTGAACTTGTTGCTAATCGTGCTCCATTCCTTATTTTTGAAAGAGAAACATCATCACCCCTCACCAAACACAACATATCATCATCAGGAAATCATCAACATTATCATCATATCATACACAAACTACATCATTAACTCAAAGGTACGTAGTTCAGTTTCTTAATATTGAGGATACCGCAAGAGTTTTCGTTTTTTACATTTCGCTTTACAAAAATAAAATGCGCCTGTTGGTTGACATCTAATTCAGCCATGCTCAGTCATATACGCTACCGTAACTGAGAGTCAAAAACGGCTGACGAAAAGAGAAAAAAGAGAATATGTGTCAAAATAGCATATAAGGATACCCCCCATTTTTTCGGTATTTTGGGGTTCTTGAGAGCGTTTTTCAACCGAATTCGCTGCAATTTGGTATTTTGTAGTCGTATATGGTAACAAACACCCCACCAAAAATTATTAATATTCGCCCCCCTCTTTGGGGTAGTCCCCATATAACCCCCCTTTTTATACCCTTCACCACACTGCAGCAACGTACACAGGATTTCATTTCGGGGGGGGGGCCCGGTAGTACAAAATGAAAAAATTCGCTGTTGCAAACATACATTTACTGTGAAAAAAATTAATTTGGGGGGGGGGGGGGGGGGTGGCCGGGCTCCCCCCCTGCGTACGTCCCTGCCACACTGTGGTAAAGGGTATTACCTCTTTGTGCATATGTTTGTAACAGGCAAAAGGGAACGAGATAGACACACAGTTCCTTTTGAGAATAAGCATAGATTCACTTTCTGATTCGATTTTACGAATGTCCGTCTGTCCATGTTAAATTGTAAACAAAGTACAGGTCACATTTATGATCCGAATTGGATCAAATTTTGTATAGAGCACTTATGTGGCCTCAGGACGAACTCTATTGAAATTGAGAAAAATCGGTTCAGATTTAGATATAGCTCCCATATAGTTATTTTCAGTACAATCCCTTACAACATTGCACGTCTAATTACCCCCTTTTAATTACCCATTTCATTTATTTGCCCTTAAATAACCTACCCCAAAGTAACCGTACGTTTAAATCTACTCCATGTAATTACCCAATGTATTTTTTTTTTAAATCTGGCAACTTCACTTAAAATGGCTTACATTTGCTAGTGCACTTGCCACACATGTGCACATAAAATCTATTGTTTTGAAAGTTTTGGTGAAATGTCCCCCAGAAATACATCTTTGTCTATCAAACTAAAGCTCCAGTTAATATCTCAAGAAAAAAAAAACCAGTAAGGAAAGTAGTAAAGTCGGACGGAGCCGACTATATGATACCCTTCACCACTATGGGCATATTAAACAGCACTATTAACATGAAATTGGAACAAATAAAATATGTGGTATTTATCTAAATGTGAATCGACCTAGATCTATACATAAACATATCATTCGTTTGTTACAATGTGACAAAAGTATGTAAATCGATATTTGTTTGAAATATCAATAGGTCATCCGTTGGGCTATGTCTGTACTTCTAGAAAACGCAACTACGTTATTCTATGCTCAATTTTGTACTAAATCTCAACTGATTTTCACGAAACTTGCCAGACATCACTCTAGGCTCAGTTCAGTACGTAATGCCAAATTTCGTGCAAATCGAAAGATATATAGGGACTTTGGTACACCATTTACATGAAAGCGGACGAAACTATATATGGGAGCTATATCTAAATCTGGACCGATTTTCACGAAACTTTGCAGACATAATTCCAGACTCAATTCCGTACGTTATACAAAATTTCGTGTAAATCGAAAGATATATAGGGACTTTGGTGCACCATTTACCTAAAATCGTGCGAAACTATATATGAGAGCTATTTTTAAATCTAGACCGATTTTCACAAAACTAATCACTCATCATTCTAGACCTAATTCAATATACTATACCAAATTTCGTGCAAATCGAAAGATATATAGGGACATTGGTACACCATTTACATAAAATCGGGCGAAGCTATATATGGGAGCTATATTTAAAATTGAACCGATTCTCACGAAACTTAGCACACGTCATTCCAGACCTAATTCAGTAGGCTATGCCAAAATTCGTGCAAATCAAATGATTTTCAAGGACTTTGGTGCACCATTTACCTAAAATCGGGAGAAACTTTATGGGAGCTATATCTAAATCTGAACCGATTTTCAGGAAACTTAGCACACATTGTTCTAGACTTAATTAAGTACATTATGCCAAATTTCGTGCAAATCGATGGATATATAGGGACTTTCATACACCATTTACCTGAAATCGGACGAAAATATATATGGAAGCTATATCTAAATCTGAACCGATTTTCACGAAACTTAGCACACATCATTCTAGACCTAATTCAGTAGGCTATACCCAATTTCGTGCAAATCGAAAGATATATAGGGACTTTGGTACCCCATTTACCTTAAATCGGACGAAAATATATATGGGAGCTATATCTAAATCTGAACCGATTTTCACGAAACTTAGCACACGTCATTCTAGACTTAATTCAATACGCTATGCCAAAATTCGTGTAAATCAAATGGTTTTCAGGGACTTTGGTGCAGCATTTACCTAAAATCGGGCGAAACTATATATGGGAGCTATATCTAAATCTGAACCGATTTTCACGAAACTTGGCACACATCATTCTAGACCTAATTCAGTTGGCTATACCAAATTTCGTGCAAATCGAAAGATATTTAGGGACTTTGGTACCCTATTTACCTTAAATCGGACGAAAATATATATGGGAGCTATATCTAAATCTGGACCGATTTTTCCCAATTTCAATAGGGTTCGTCCTTGGGCCAAACAAGTGAGCTGTGCCAAATTTCATCCAATTCGGATCATAAATGCGACCTGTACTTTGTTTACAATTTAACATGGACAGACGGACGGACGGACATGCATAAATCGACTCAGAAAGTGATTCTATGCATAATCTCAAAAGGAACCATGGGTCTATCTCGATTATTTTTGCCTGTTACAAACATATGCACAAAGACATAATACCCTGTACCACAGTGTGGTGAAGGGTATAAAAAGAAGGAAAAAACTAAACACCAGTGTCCACCGATATTTACCCTTACTGGGTAATTAACCGGGGTCCACGGATAATTACCCTAGCGAAGTAATTAACCGTGCACGCTTAATTAGCTTCCACGGATAATTGCTCAAAAATCTTGAAATTTTCACTGAGGGTTTACTTTATATATACATGTATATATATATACATATATTTTCTTTAAATTGATTTGCATCATTTTGTCCCATTGTATGAAGCAACCCTATATCTGACCAAATGAAAATTTTAGTATAGGTTAGTTAGTATACACCCAATGTGATGAAGGGTATCATATAGTCGGTCCCGTCCGACTGTACTACTGTCCTTACTGGTTTATTTTGAAATAGTTATCCGATTTGTTTCGCGCATTTAGGCCAAGGCCTAGCCCCTGTGTTGGACGTACCAGAAGGAGTGGACCGATATTCCCCATATTAGAACTTGAACTATGTTTGGAAGAAATAAGAAAGTAGTCAAAGTTTGAATGAAATCAAAATTATCTGAAACGGATTTGGCCCAAAGAAACATGGGGTCTAGAACCAATATTTCGATGAGGCCATTAGCCATAAGCTGAAATTTGTATTTGATGTACATTATGATTAACATAATCGGTAAATCAGTGTTGGTCTTAACTAAATTAAGAGTAAGTGTGGATGAGCGTAGCTGAGAATTCATCATTAAAAACGGCTGACGAAAAGAGAAAAAAGAGAATGTGTGTCTAACCATTGACCCTCAGTTACGGTAGCGTATATGGCTGAGCATGGCTGGATTGAATGTTTATTAGTTGTTTACGAACAATAAGGGCATTTACCGAATTATTTTGTATCGTGGTTTTGTGAGAATGGGGTAAAACATAGTCGATTAATACATAACATATACAAATACGAGCATACCGATAAATATTTTGCAAATAATGAAACTAATAGAAAAAAAAGGAAAGGGATACCCCGAATTCTATTGTAATCATCTTAATGAGCAACTGATTAAAAACTCCTATATATATATATATATAGGGAGTTATATTACATTATAATGCATAAAAAAATTTAACATTCATCAGAAAATACAGCGAAAATTAATTGTACTTTTTTGTAATCATTTCAATATTGTACATTTGCAGTTTGCCCGACAAATTGGAGTCAAAAATGAATCAAGCATTTTCAGTGGATTGTCAATTTATTGTCGGTGAAAATCTGGGAAAGCCAAAAACTATATTCGGCCATAAATTAATCTTCGCCTTGAACTCGGAAGTGTTTGAATCAATGTTTTCTGGTAATTTCATGGAAGCAAAATTTACCAGAATCCCATTGCCAGACGATGATCCAAATGCATTTCGCAACTTACGCATAATCTTGTATAATCTCCGTGATGCCTCTCAGGAAGTTGAGGAACTAAATGTTAGCGATACGATCAGTTTGTATAAACTTTGTGATAAATATATGTTCACGACAATAGCTAAGTTATGCAGAGAACACTTGAAGAAATTAATTGAAAAGTCTAACCATGATGATGCGTTAAAAATTTTCGATGCCACTGTGGCATTTTCGAATTTGAAGCTATTAGAACCTATTAAAACTGTAAGTACATTCGAGATAGCATTATTTTGATAATATAATTTTGTACACACCGATTTTCATTTACAGAAATTACTAGCAAATGATTATTCTACATCGCTACCTACACTTTACGAATTGGATTATGTTTCGTTTATGAAATATATCGAATTAAAAATAGAATGCAATCTCTCAAACCACATGCCAATATTTGATGCAATAGAAAAATATATATTGGATAATAATTTAATACCGCAGCAGTTACGTGCAACGGACAAGTCAACAAAGAAAATTGGGAGAACCACCGCTACTACATTTGGGCAAGAGGATGTTGTTCTGCTTAGCGATGAGAGATCAATGGAATTAATGGAAAAGTTGTTGTCTTATGTGGATTTTGCTAAAATTACAATTGAAGATTTCATTTCCGGGCCTGGTACTTCAAACATACTTACCTGGAAACAAAAATATACGCTTTTATCAGAATTAAATGCTGTTGACTTATGTGGATTTTGCTAAAATTACAATTGCATACATTACCTGGAAACAAAAATATACGCTTTTATCACAATTAAATGCAAATCCTAAACCATCAAGCATCAAATTATATCAACATTGAACAGAAATAAAAACAAATATTTCTTAAATTAAGGTGTTTCTATGGTGTTATGAAAGAAAAGGTTCCTCAAACATTAGTGACAAAGCTAAAGCAACTGAAATTATTAACAGAATAAATGACCTGTAACTTTTTTAAAAATAAGCTTATATTGAAAGTTTATTTTAGAACAAATGGGAATTTAAATATTTTTAAAGAATTTTTTTTAAATGGTTTCACCCTCCTTACTGGCTAAAAAATAATTGTTCGATGAAAAACTCCTAACGAAAAAATATTCGTTAGGAGTGTTATCATTCATAATACCATTCCATCATCATGGGTTGGCTTAACCTGTTCTATACCCCTAATTTTGTTTAGAAGCGCTTCAGCCATCTACACGTTGATTTCGGAACTATTGAAATTGTTTAGTTAAGTATGATGTCTCACCCCTGGGTGGGAACTTGTATATTGGTCAACTCTAGTCTTGGCGCCATCTATATTTGGATAATATAAATACCATGTAACTATTTAAGTGACTATTATCATAGACATTCACCATATACGATAATATTATGGAACAGTATTATAGTAAGTGTAGTCATCCCAAGTGCCCAAAAATATGCAATACGCACCAAAACCGGGATTCATAGAATTTTTGTCATTAGAGCGCACAGTGTCACGACCGCGGCCAAAAATGGTCAAAACCAAGTACCTCGGAGGACAAATATTTTGATGAGGTATAATAGAAAACACTCCAATTAGAATAAATATGAAATTTTATATCGATATGTCGAGTAGTTTTGTCTCTACAAAGGTTCAAATCTGATAGTTATTTATAAACTGATTTTTTACCATATTTTCGAAAAATGGGTGTGTTTTTCTGATGCTCAAATATTTGAATATTCAAATTAACGGTTATTATAAAAGTGTTTATTTTGGTTGCTGTGGATGTTAAAAACTAGGATTCGCTGTAGTTTGTATGTATATAGATATCATATGGTGTATACAGTCGTCCACACTTGTAGTACTTAGTTGATCAAATTTGTAAAACAAATTTTGAAATTAGTGGAGCAGAAAAGAAGTTTAAAAAACTTTAGCTCTATTTATACCCTTCACCACACTGTGGTACAGGGTATTATGTCTTTGTGCATATGTTTGTAACAGGCAAAAATAATCGAGATAGACACATGGTTCCTTTTGAGAATATGCATAGAATCACTTTCTGAGTCGATTTATGCATGTCCGTCCGTCCGTCTGTCCGTCTGTCCGTCTGTAGATGTTAAATTGTAAACAAAGTACAGGTCGCATTTATAATCCGATTTGGATGAAATTTGGCACAAGTCACTTATTTGGCCCAAGGACGAACCCTATTGAAATTGGGAAAAATCGGTTCAGATTTAGATATAGCTCCCATATATATTTTCGCCCGATATCGGCACCAAAGTCCCTATATATCTTTCGATTTGCACGAAATTTGGCACAGTGTACTGAATTAGGTGCAGCATGATATGTGCCAAGTTTCGAGAAAATCGGTTCAGATTTACATATAGCTCCCATATATAGTTTCGCCCGATTTAAGGTAAATGGGGCACCAAAGTCCCTCTATATCTTTCGATTTGCATGAAATTTGACACAGAGTACTGGATTAGGTCCAGAATGATATGTGCCAAGTTTCGAGAAAATCGGTTCAGATTTAGATATAGCTCCCATATATAGCTTCGTCCGATTTAAGGTAAATATTGCACTAAAGTCCCTATATATAATTCGATTTGCATTAAATTTGGCACAGGGTACTGAATTGGGTCCAGAATGATGTGTGCCAAGTTTCGAGAAAATCGGTTCAGATTTAGATATAGATCCCATATATACTTTCGTCCGATTTAAGGTAAATGGTGCACCAAAGTCCCTATATATCATTCGATTTGCATGAAATTTGGCATAGAGTACTGAATTAGGTGCAGAATGATATGTGCCAAGTTTCGAGAAAATCGGTTCAGATTTAGATATAGCTCCCATATATAGCTTCGTCCGATTTCATGTAAATGGTGCACCAAAGTCCCTATATATAGTTTAGTCCGATTTAAGGTAAATGATGCACCAAAGTCCCTATATATCCTTCAATTTACACGAAATTTGGCACAACGTACTGAATTGAGCATAGAATGTTGTCTGCCTTGTTCGTGAAAATCGGTCCATATTTAGATAGAGCTCCCATATATAGTTTCGTCCGATTTCATGTAAATGGTGCACCATAGTCCCTATATATCCTTCGATTTGCACGAAATTTGACATAACGTTAAGTTAAGTAAATTGGGCATCAAACTTCTCATGTTTGTCAGATTGACAAGCAATTTTGATCAATTTCCAAAATTGAGCATAGAATAACGTAGTTGCGTTTTCTAGAAGTACAGACATAGCCCAACGGATGTCCTAATGCTTTGTTTGAAGTCGATTTATATAATTTTGCCCCATTGTAACAAACGAATGACTTGTTTACGGATTGATCTAAGGCGATTCACATTTAGATAAGTATCACATATTTTAGTTCGTCCAATTTCAGGTTAATAGTCCTGTTTTATATACCCATTGTGGTGAAGGGTATCATATAGTCGGCCCCGTCCGACTTTACTACTTTCCTTACTGGTTTTTTATTTGAGTGGTGAAAAGTGTGTCATTTAAGGAATAACAAAAATTAGCTGCGGAGACCTGCGGCCCTAAGAGTTATTTAACTTTTTTGTGACTACCTTATTAAAAAGCATGGCATATTCATGAAATGGTCCAATATGTTATGTATAAAATTAAATAAGGTATTGAGGGCCAAATAGGAAGGACGCAATGGATTCAGGACATAGTAATCATACAATATTTTGCATAAAATTTGCAATTGGTTTTAAAATATAGCTTTTAAACAAATTTTCAGTCAATTTGAAGATTATACTTATTTATCAGATTATTTGAGACATAATCTTATAATCTAAATTTAGAGGTCGCACATGAATTACCTTTGTGGAAAGTTCATACAGAAAAATATTAGTTCATTGCATGTGATATGCAAAGTGCAGTACAATACCTTTTGAGCGACTTTCCCAAGATGCAAAGAAGTCATGACACAAAATAATGAGTAGCAGCCCGAACTTTTGTTAAAGCAAAGTCAAAAAAGGATTTTATTTAGTATTTTATATTACAATCCTACCTTTTAATATCATTAAACAGCTATAAAGTTAAGGCCCGAAATTATAACATGGATGATACTAAATCGTACATTTGGGAAGACAATATTTTATATATATCTCTGGTGTGTGCTTTGAAAATTGTGTGAATGATAAACAAGTAATTTATTAGTAACTAAAGTATATCAAATATTTTATTATAATAAAAATAACAAAAATAACACTCCTATACTTAGTTTAGCTGCATATAACTATTACTAAAAACGTAACTTTCTGTACTATAAAATGTACAGAAAGTTACTTTTTTAGGGACTTTTGGTATGGTAGGTACCTGAAACATGGACCAACAACTAAATTGCAACACCTATTACTGTCTTTGCCCCAATTTGAAGCAATTTGGACGAAGACATGACAATTTTCATGAAATTTGGATTAATATAAACAATTTTATAGGTCAAAAAAATCGGATTTCCAAGACCCTTTGTATGGGAGGTATATCAAATCTTGGTCCAATCTACCCAGTGTTTGGTCCGTTGTTTTATAGGCATAAGTTAATATAAATTGCCAATTTTCATTGAATTTGGTTGAATATTAAAGATTATATAGCCCAAAATAGTAAAATTTTCAAGACCCTTTGTATGGGAGGTATATCAAATCCTGGTCCGATTTTTCCAGTTTTTGGTCAGTTGCTTTATAAGTAAATGTAGATTGCCAATTTTCATTGAAATTGGTTGAATATTAAAGATTTTATAGGCCAAAAAGTGTGACATTCTCAAGACCCATTATATGGGAGGTATACCAAATCTTGGTCCGATCAATCCAATTTTTTGTCTGTTGCTCTTTAGGCCAATAATAAGCACATGTACCAAATGTCATTAACTTACGATAACTCCTTCTATTTTTGGCCGCTGTTTATATGAACTCTCGACATAGTGGAGCGTGAATTAAATGCTTTTTTGTAGCCTTCACCACACTGTGGTACAGGGTATTGTGTCTTTGTGCATATGTTTTTAACAGGCAAAAATAATCGAGATAGACCCATGGTTCCTTTTGAGAATATGCATAGAATCACTTTCTGAGTCGATTTATGCATGTCCGCCCGTCCTTCCGTCTGTCCATGTTAAATTGTAAACAATTTGGCACAGCTCATTTGTTTGGCCCAAGGACGAACCCTATTGGGGAAAATCGGTTCAGATTTAGATATAGCTCCCATATATGGTTTCGCCCGATTTTAGGTAAATAGTTTACAAAAGTCCCTATATATCATTAAATTTGCACGAAATTTGGCACAGCGCAATGAATAAGGTCTAGAATGATGTGTGTTAAGTTTCGTGAAAATCGGTTCAGATTTAGATATAGCTCCCATATATAGTTTCGCCCGATTTGAGGTAAATAGTTTACAAAAGTCCCTATATATGTTTCGATTTGCACGAAATTTGGCATACCGTACTAAATAAAGTCTAGAACGATGTGTGAAAAGTTTCGTGAAAATCGGTTCAGATTTAGATATAGCTCCCATATATAGTTTCGCCCGATTTGAGGTAAATAGTTTACAAAAGTCCCTATATATCATTAAATTTGCACGAAATTTGGTACAGCGCAATGAATAAGGTCTAGAATGATGTGTGTTAAGTTTCGTGAAAGTTGGTTCAGATTTAGATATAGCTCCCATATATATCTTCGTCCGATTTTATGTAATTGGTGCACCAAATTCCCTATATATATTTCGATTTGCACGAATTTTGCTATAGTGT